TTTTTTTTGCTTAGTTAATTTTTGGTTCAAATTTTTATTTTTTCCACAATAAATTTTTTACCAGTCCCAGTCCAAGTCGCTGTTTTAAATATTTCTGCATAAAATTCCAATAGTTACATTTACGAACCGCATACCTACCTCCCCAAAATGAAGAAATAATTATTCTCTATAAATAACTTTTGCCTAGAAAACACGTTTTTCAAACTAACCTCATTTTATTTAAATTTTCTTGAATGCTACACTTTTTTTTTAATTATTTAATTGGTTTTCTTTTGAATAAATAATTTTTTAAAAATGTTAAAACAAAAAAATTATAATTTAAAAAAACGTCTAAAATATTTATTTTGGCAGCGTTTATTACAAATGAAACAAAAAACGAAAAAAATTTAATTATTTGTAAACTGTTTGCTGAAAGCCCCTCAGAAGTTAAAACAAATGTAAAACAAAATAAATTTAAATTAAATTAAAAATCAAAATTAAGTTGAAAAATAATGTTAAAAATTGTACACAATTTCGTAACACGTTTTAAAATACATCATGTTTCCACGCAAACTTTTGCAAACTCCAATTTAATTTTTTACTTTCCATTTTTTTCCACACTAATATCAGTTATGCCCTTTTTTTTTAACATTAATACCAGTTATGAGTTGTAGCAACAACAACTACAACAAAGCAACAAAAGAATATAATTTGCTCGTTAGACATTTAAGCTGAATTATGTGTAAGCATTTATAATAATATATTTACAAAGCAAAATATAAAAAATATATATAAATATGTATTCTGTATACACATACTATATATACTAATAGGCATTGCATTGCATTATATTATATGTATATATGCATACAAATATATACAAAAACTAGCATTGTAACTGGATAACTAGAGGCGCATAGTTAGTGACATTAGAATTTTAATTTTAATTATTATATTTCACAAAAATATATATTATTTTATAAATATCCTTAAATTTATATATACTGTTATAAAACTTGTAAATACACTTAATGCGTACACTTAATAGAATTACGAACAAATAATAATAATTATATAGCATCATTATGCAGTCTAAATACATGCACGTTAGGGTTTACGTTATTTACCAATTTGATTTCTTTTTTTTTTTTTTTTTTTTTAAAACCTTTTTTTTTTTTTTTTTTTTTTTTTTATTTTTTTTTTATGTTTTTTTTTTTTTTTTTTTTTTTGCAAAAGCGTCTTTGAAGTTTCAGCTTTTGCGCTAAAAACAATTCTACAATGGAAAAAAGCGCTTTATTTCCAATTTAAACCGTGCCTGAAACATTTTACTTCTCCAATATACATATGTACATATATGATTTTTTATTTTTTTCCTATAATTTTTGTATCGACAAAGCAAAGAAATCTACAACTTTCCAAAAATAATAAATTTTTCGCCCTACAAAAACACCCTGTATAATTTTTTCCTAAAAAAATGTCTTTAAAAGTTAAAGGCAACCGAAGTTAAGCAGCAAGTGTACTGCACTGCAGCTGTGTACGTTACTATGTGAATAGTACACCATGTCGTATGAACAACATACGAATGCATAAATAACAATAACTTGCATGAATGCTCAGGCCATTTCATGTAAAATTTTGACTGCGTATGACTTTGTAAGGAAGGTTTTTATGAAAAAAAAAAACATTAAGACCTTCTTTGTAGCAGAAAATAGTATTAGAATATAACTTTATCAAAGTGTAATGCAATTTAAAAAAAATCACATGCAATAAAAGCACATAAAAAAATAAATCTAATTTATGCTCCGTTCAAATTGAAAATAAAGTGCTTGTTTACGTTGTATGCTAATTTTTAGCGCAAAAACTTAAACTTCAGGCGTCAATTGCAAAACGAAGAAGGCATCAAATTGATAAATAATGAGCACTTTAACCTGCATGAAGGCATGTTTTAATATCAAGCGCAAAGGACTACATATTTTTAAATTTATTACACCATGAAAGTGAAATAAAGATATATACATACATTAACAGCAAGCTGTGGTTTGCACTTTTTTGAAGTTCTACATGTAAATAAATTTAAAAAAAAAAATTACTGCATTATAACTTTTGTATAAAATAAAAAATATGTGAAATGTTATTTTTGTAATGTAAATGCAATTTGTTTAAAAAATACAAACAAATACATAAATACGCAGTTGTATGCAGACTTAAAATAGCCACACGAGTGTTAAGTTGTGGGCCTAGCTTAGAACTCCTAACATTTCACTCATTTTTTTCAACACTTCTAGTAAGAATTTATATTTTTCGTTTAAGTAAATCAAATAAATTGTAATATAAAACAAATGCTAATTTAAAACTAGTAATATTTTAATAAAAAATAAAAACAAATAAATGGCAGATTGCTTGCTAAATGAAAAAATAAAATAAAAGAAAGTCTTATATTCAAGCTGTACTTAGAATTTCTTCAATAATTGTTATTGCATTTTCTTTACATATAATTATATTTCATATTAAATGTCCCAAATACAATTAAATAAAAAAATATGTAAAAGCATACATGCTAAAACAAAATGTTAGTACAACAACATACAACAATGCATTGCATGCCCTTCTAAGTTTTAAGTAAATGTATTAAAGCTTTCAAACCCTTTTCTAACGACGTAATTATAGTGATTTAAAGATTTTCTCTGCTCATTGTGTACATAAGTACGTAGTTACATACGTAAATAATGTTTTTGGTTTGCTTTAATTATTCTTTACTCACTGGTATTTTTTTTCTTAAATATTTTTAAATGAAAGTGAAATAAAAATAAAAGTGAAAAAAACTTTGAAAAAAGTTAACTTAAATTGCATTCAGGTGAGAGTTTGTAATAATAGGTGTTTTAATGTAATCTTAAGTATAAGCTATACAAATAAAACAAAACAAAAAAACTTAGTGCATAATTAAACTGATTGTGTCGTCTAAACATTGTCGCTTTAAAGGAAGAAACTACTAAAATAAAAAATATAAAACAAAAACATAAAACATATGTGTCCAATTCTTTTTATTGTTGTTGTTATACGAAAGTAAGTTATTGCTAACCAAATAATGAATACATATGTATGTATGAACAAAACCGAGCATTTCGTAGAAGACAACTGTTTTGGGGGGGTATATTAGTAGTAAGGGTAAAAAAAGCAATTAATATTTTGACTATAAATTTGTTTATTAGTTATCTAGACATTAGAAAAATACAGTAAGAAATCAAAAATAAAATAGTTAAAAATCTTAAAAGTTAGTGAAGGGGAGGGTCTGAAAAAATTAGCACATGACATATCGGCGATTTCAACCTTCCTAGCAATCTGAAGCAAGAAATAAAAAAATATTATTAAACTGGATTTTTGTTGTAGTGGAGGAATTTCTGCGACTTGAATTCTCTTAAGCTCTCGCAGGAGGAATTCTGCAATACTGACGCAATAGCTGGTTCTAATGAAAAGTTAGTAAAAATTTTTTTCACGAAAGAGCGGCACACTGGATTGGAAAAAAGTTACAAAAAAAAATTAATCCCACAAAAAAAAAAGCTAAACAAAATTAATCCCCAATTTATGATTATGATTTTTTTCGTACTTCACTTATATTAAGCAAAAAATGTTAATTAAATTTATTTTTTAAATTATTTATCTCTAAAACGATTTATATTTCATAGATGTGATAAGATTTTAAAATTTGTATAAAATTTAGCAACAAGATAGTAATTTTCATCAGCCGCATATACAAAAAAATGGCTTCTTCACTATTTGCATTGTTTTTTTCTTACAACAATAAAAAAACACACAGCACATAATAAAAAAAATCTGATTATCCCTGAAAATATGCAACAATTAACTATTTAAACACATTTTCTTTTTGCGCGCTTTAATTTTCCTTTTCATTGTTTTTGTGTTAGTCTTGTGGCGCGTTTTTCATCGGATGGAACATCGTACGTGAGCTTTCCATTTAAATTTAATGAACGGTTCTTTTGCAAGTGCTAATTTTCTTCTAAGTGAAATAATTGCAATTTCGTGTTACAATATGTTTACATAAATGTTTAGTGAACGTGTTTTGTCTAATAATAAGCTGAAATAAAATAGAAATTATTTCAACAAAAGCAAATGTCAAACAAAACAAAAAGTGCCGTTGGACGAAGCGCCAAGTACTTACAAGAGGTACATATGTAAGTGTTTAATTCACCTCATAGCCGTAGTGCATAAAAAAATAACAATTAAATTTACAAATTTTTCTTACCTACATTTTATTTAACGAAAAAGATAAGTTCAAAAAGAAAAAAAAACTGGGAATATATACTTTGTATACATATGTGTGCAAATATGATTAAATATTCGGTGCTTATATACCTACGGAGCTAAACAGTAAAACCGCTAAAGACTTACTGCGCACAAAATATAATAAATTAGCGTGTACTTTTTAACGAAATATGCACTCCTGCTTTTTGTATTTTATATGCCAAAAATGTAAATAAAATGCACCTAATATTGTACAACAAATGAATAAAGATAAGTAAAAATATTTAATTTGTAAACCCGACTAGGCGATTGGTTTGATAACCTTCGGTTTTGGTTCTGGTGGATCAATCAAATTACCATGACGCACAACATCAATATTTCCCAGGCGCACCATTTTCTCCTCCCAAAGCGCAATTTCTTTTCTGCAATATAGAATTTACATAAAAAGTAAAATAATTTTTCTTAATACTTGAAAATATACTCACTTGTACACTTCCATGTCTTTGCGGGATTCTATTAAGTACACCTCTTTCTCTTTATCGGAGAGGCGTGACCATTTTTCTGTGCACTTTTGATGCCATTCACGGTATGTTTGCTTAGGCGTTTGTGGCGAATTTGTACGTTCTTGTATGAGGAAGCGTAAGAAGGCAGAAGCAGGTTTTTTTGGACGTCCGAGTTCCTTAATACGCTTTCGCATCATTCTGCGGTCTTTAGCGTCTTGTACATCTTGCTTAAGCTGTTTCAGTTCGGCACGTTGTTCATCAGTCATTTTCGCCTCATATTTGGCACGGATTTCCACAAACTCTTGTTGTTCACGTTTGTAATCATCTTGCAGGCGTTTTTTCAATGCGGCATCTGCATTACTCCAACGCTTCGATAACACGCGCACTATGTCGATGGTGCTGAATTTTGGATTTTCTGCAAGTATTTTGGGACGTTGTTCTTGCATGTAGCGAAAGTAAGGTGTGAGCGGTTTCTTTGGTCGTGGTGGTAGACCAAGTTTCTCTTCAAGTGTGCGTGCAGATGTCGTGACATTTGTGGATACACTGAAGTTGGCAATGGCCGCTGGCCTGTCGGTAGAGGAGATGGAGATAGGAGCAGTTACGGAGTGTGTGGCAGTGAAAGAATTTGATGATTGTAAATCGTTAATGTTGTTCGTTTGTCTGTCATTAATGTTGGAAGACTTGGACGGTTGATTTTTTATCACTTGCCTGCATTTTTTGACCAAGGACCCAAAAAAGGTAGACTTCGATAGGAGTGGGGCCGTAAGCAGCATTTTGTCTACAAATATTACAATAAAGTGAGGATGTTGATTTAACTAGCAACTTCACCTTGTACTTGGAGTTTAATTCAGAATTATAGTAAAAATGATATGATCAAGCGGTATTTACTAGTATTTACATAAGGAAACGCGCAACGAAATGACAATTGTCAGGTAAATGTCAAACAGCAATAGAGGAGAAGCGTGGTGACTTTATTTCGAAAAATATGTATTAAATTCCAATCCGAGTATAAAATTTGTTAGATTAAACTTATTGGAAGAATAAATTATATTAACGCCGGTTAATTATATATATATATTTTATATTTTTCAATATATGACATGTAAGTTTTGTTTGCTATAATTGTACGCACCCCATTGAACACACCATCGAATTGTCATTAACATATGCCAGCATGAGGTAAACAAAAGGCCAACAAATGGCTTTGCACAGCTGATATAACCTTTAAAAATTTAATGGCTCGTTGTTCAAAATTTTGTGCCGGTCTTTAATTGTAATTAAAAAGTTAAATAAGATGTCTAACAGCACATCTGCAGCTAGCAGCTCGACATCAAAAGTTGCGAAGCAAACACAAAAACAATTGGAAATTAAAGACAAAGTAAGAGTGCTATGTCTGCACGGCTATCGCCAAAACGGTGATGCACTCAAAAATAAATTGGGTTCTTTTCGAAAATTTGCTGGCAAGTATGCTGAGTTCGTGTTTCTCACGGCTCCACATCAAGTGATACTACCAGAATCAGGTGGTGATCAAGCAGCTGAACAACGTAGTTGGTGGGCCAATAAAGATGATGGTACCTTTAAAGGTACAAATAAAGGCGGACCGGCGTTTGGTTTTCAAGAAAGCCTAGGTCAAGTTGAAGAAGCGTGGGATAAACAAGGTCCATTCCAAGGTTTATTAGGTTTCTCGCAAGGTGCTTGTTTTGTGGGTTTAATTTGTGGTTTAGCGAAAAAGAAATGTGAGTATGTTGTGTACTTTTGAAATTAATAGACACGAGAACAAAATAGTAACTATCAAACTTACAGTGACTTCCATACGTCCCGATTTTGCTATATTATCCTCCGGTTTTCTTTCTGGTAGTTTGGCGCACAAAAGCGCATACGAAGAAATTCTTACCATACCTACGCTACACATATACGGACTTAGCGATGATATCATACCAAAAGAGATGAGTCAAGATTTGGCGAGACACTTTAAAAATGCTGAAATATTAGAACATCCAGGCGGGCATTATTTCCCTGCTACTGCGTCGCAAAAGCAAACATATATAAACTTTTTCCAAGACCGACTACAAGAATACTTAGAAAACTTAGAACTGCAGCAAGCAAATAACGTTACATTTCTTGAAACGGCGGAACAACAAACTGCAGTTGATAGCAGTAATACTGACGACTCTGAATAGAGAGGCTAGTAAAGTGAGACATACATACGTAGTAGTATGTGGTCTTAATTATTTAAGTCAATACAACACATACAAGTGATTTCCTTTCATTTTTTTTAATAATTAATTCTTATGATTACAATTATGTTAATTAATTAATAAAATTAACCGAATATACAGTAATTCATAAATCTGCTTCACCAACTCCGCAAATCGCTACGCATCTCGTTTATTTGCTTTTATTTTATATTGTATATCGTCGAGATTTTCATAAGGCTTTACAATATAATTTATTATAAAGCGACTTCGCTTTTCGTTTAATTTATTTTGTTTGTTTCTTTTTGTTTTCTAAACATTAGGTTTCGTTAAATTATTGCAAAAAGAGTGCTAAGATGTGTAACTATGTGTGCATATGAAATGTAATTTAGTGTCAGAATGCTTTGTTTTGTTTGTATATATTAGAGATGTCTGCGAAATTTGTATAATTTTTATATTACATAATTTTTGTTTTCGTAGTTTGCCTATCAATTTATTTGTTTATTTCACGCGAATTTGAGCCGTTTACTAATAGCATTAAATAAAGTTTTGGTTTTTTCTTTAATAATATGTTAAGAGTGAACTTACTTCTTTAACTTTTAACAATTTATAAATTATGTAAGTAAAAGAAACGATGATCAAATTTTTTTGTTTTTCATAGCGTAAACAATGTTTAAATTGGTTTGACACAAATATACGTTATTAACGGTAAGAATCATAATTTTAAATTATAAATTCATTTGCATATTTTCATTCAAGAATTTGAATTAATTAGTTAACAAATATATCTCGACCAATATTGTTGCATTTAGAGTGTAGTAATAAAAATAATAATAATAAGTTCCAAAAAAAATGTAAGTTTGGGAAGTTCTGTTGCCTTGCTTCATGGTCACATGTCTACAAATTATCTAACTTGATGGTGTTCAACAAAGCAAGGTGCTTGTGTTTTTTGTTTTTAAGAAAGCACATAACAAAATTATTTACTTAATGCTGAAGTTAAAAATTAGATTTTTGTTTATAAATTTAATTGATGTTGTTAAAAACAGGCATTTGCTGCGTGCCATTATGTATGTATGTAGTATCAATTAAGACCGGTCGGTTTTTCTACATCGTTTTTGTTGCTGTTGTTGTTGCGTTAGATACTTCCATTTTCTGCGTTATTTTATGCAACCTGCTCTTGACCGTTAGCTGCCTCTTGATTCTTCATAACTTCAGGTAGATCTGGTGGGGATGAGTATGGCGTTATCTCGAGCGGCTCGAATTCACCATGCTCATCTCTGAAAAAATTTAGATGATTATGTGTTTTATTACAGCGTTCCTTAAAGCCTTTCAGAATGCATATTTTCAGGCAACATATATATAGAACGAATTACTGTACAAAAGATAGATAGAATTGTTGGCGCGAGCCAAATACACGACGCGTGGGCATGACAAGTCCATTTTCCAAAAATAAACACATAAAAATGTGTATTTGACATAAAAAATTAACCAATACACTGAAACATGTAACAAGCTTGGAAATATTTATATTGAAGTAAAAACAAGCTAGAATTTCAAAATAATAAAACAAATAATATTCAGTGATTTCAGTATTAATTGATAACAGCGTCGCTTGAAAATAGATTAAATAAAATAAACCATAACACAACTGATTAATCACACACTTGCTGAACTTGAACCCAGACACGATTACCTGCGCTTTATAAGCCCATACGGCAACACTACCTGCCTTTTCGTTCTTGTTTCAAACTCACCTTAATGCTAGTCCTAACTGTGCCGGAGCTTGCGCCTTTGCCGTTGACATCTGTATGCCATAATCCTGCAAGGTGTTCTCATCCTCCATCACCTCATTGTCCTGATTATATAGCTTCTGATCATGCGGACGCACCTTTAAGATACCTGTAAACAATAAAATTAATATATATATGCATATACATATGTATTAGTCATCTATATTATTAGTATATTTTTTAATTTTTCACCAATTTTTACTTGCCTTCAATCATACGCTTCAGTTCCGCGACGCTTGTATTCTCTTTTGCATCTGTGAAAATTGTGGTTTTATGTCTTCGAATCATAAGAAACACATCCTGGTGGGAGGAAGAAAATCGTTTATTAAAAATTGTTTGTAATCATTATTTTGGTCAAAGTTCATTTCGCTGCGGGCGCACGTTAGAGTAGCTGCGTTAACAGTGGCGACTACGTCGACGTCAAGCTTTAGGCGACGACATTGACAGTAGCAGCAGCTGATTTCACAGCACTGTTGTTGTCATGCTATTACTCTTTCAGTGTCCGCTGTTGCTGTTTTCGCCGCTGCGGACTACTCTTAATCCCTACCATCAAAATCACAGTAACCGTGTATTACTTACCATTTCGAGTAATTTATGCTTTTAACGCAGATGTAAGATATAACAATTTCTGTTGATTAGATTTCGTACGTTAGCAAGCGGTTCGACCTTGTCTTTACTATTTCAACACCGACAAATTCTTCAACGTCTACGCGGCGGCACTTCACACTGCACGTATACAACTAGACCACACAGTTCGCACTCAGGGTCACTTCCACAGGCAAACAATTCGGTAATTAACTGCACGCTTATATGCCGAAATCCTGTACGGATCTTAATTTCGTTTATACGTCAGCTAAAACCGCTTACTTTTACATCGAACGCTTAGCGCTCTCAATGAAGAATAAATAAAATCACGCTGCGGTTTTGATGAGTATAAAAAATATAAAGAACTTCTATTTGGTCTTCTTCTTCACCTACAGATCTTTTATTTTTTTCTTAAAAGCCGAAAAAGTCACAAAATCCAAATGTCAAATGCAGCACTGACAAGCGTTGCGCAAATGAGCATGTTCACACAACTGACGATGATGAATGTCATCGCAAGGCACTTACGAAAGTGGTAAGCCACAAATGGAAAGAATATTGTGGAGTCTATGCCGTGCAGTGTGTTCAGTGTGCAGTGTTGTTGGCTTGTGGAATGTAATTACAAATTCATAAAGGAAGTGTAAGAAGTGAAGTTTGCAAACGGAACCGTAGTAATTATTTTGATTTAAAAAGCTGTGTAAAATATTCATAACAAAATGTTTGTTATATTTGTTAATAACAGTGATTGCTGTATATTTTTATTATAGTAAAGTATGCATTGATCTATGTACTTTTAGATTGTTTCTTGATTTACAAGATTTGCTTAGTACAAACACACACATTCAAATATGCCGTGCAGTATTTGCGAATTTCGGCGGAAGCTTCTAGTGCTTTGTTCGCACTTCCAAAAATTTAAATTTCTCTTCTTGTAAGTTTTTTTTTATTTTTATTAACCATTTGAATATTTTCATTATTATTTCCTTTATATATTATTTTATATTTATTTTGTGAAAAAGAACTCAGTATATTTAATTACCGGGATATATACATACATATGTACATATGTTATGTTAACATGTTATATGTACATATGTATGTAGGACCGACAGTTTCCATTCTATACAATGGTTAGCAATCTTTAAATGTTTCTTTATTTCAATAATCCAAAAAGAATAACTTTCGACATGACCGATATTCTAGACTGCTTCTGCTGTAAAGGCTAAATTATTACCAATACAATGTTTGGCTTATATAACTTTATAACATCATATATATGTATAAGCGAATAATATAGTTTAGATTGAGGCAAAGTTGGCAAAACATTCTGACTGCGTCTTGTCGTACATGAATCCCTTCACTTTTGCCAGTTACTCTTGCCACCTTTGGTGTTCTAAATTAACCCAAAAGGAGTTGGGCTTTCTTTGCGCTTACGGTGATGATATGACTAGTTATGTTAAAAGAGATTA